GACTGACCGACCGACAGACAGACAGACAGACAGACAAGCACAGACGGAAGACAGACAAGTTTCACATATCTACACGCATTAGATTGCCCCCACATCCAGCCCCACATCCGCATGCCCTTATTGTGCTCGGTTGGTGCTGGGCCTGACGCAGAGCTTAAGACTCGAAGTAAACTGTAAACTTGTTGCGTTTTCCTTGGAATCTAAGCTCATCGCGTAAGCAATGACAGTCAGACATGGGTCGAGAGCAGTCCGGGAAGACATCATGAGGTTCAAACGTCCAAGCTGGGGTGTGGGATCGTGCTGTAGCCAGAAGCTGCCACCGTCACCAGCGTGGGTAGGTGAATCTTTTCGAGTTCTAGTTTTGTGTCGGGACAGAGCTCGTCCAAATTGGTGACATTCCATTTTCGTTTGTGTTGTGACCGTCATTGGCGCTTTAGGTGGAGACGGACGAGCCCAGCCCGTCGTCTTCCGTCTTAGCCGTGAGGTGTGCTGCTGCTTCCCTCTCGGTTTTGCAACGATTGTGCGGGGAAGTCTTGTCATATCTAATTCTCCTGGTTGTGCCGTTTACATCCGTATCGCTACCCATCAGCATGTGCAACATGGACTGTCCGCAGGTCGATGCCTTCGAGATTGGTCCTGAACCAGGTCGAGGTGGCAATGCAAAAACAGAGAATACGTGCAGGGGCAGGTGCAACATGCATGTACATTCACTGAGTGGAGTGATTTCGTCTCTGCGAGATGCATCTGAACGCTAGAAGGCAGGTTGCCCAGTGACGAATATCCGTGCTCGGAGCTTCGAGGTCATCGGGTGGCCCTCACGGAGGTCTCGAGCTGTGTTTGGCGTTGGGTGTCGGCAGTGACGATTTCGCGAGCATGCGATCAGCACAGCTTCACACCTGCCATGGACATTGTTGTAAGCTGTTCTTGAGGGGCACCAAGCAACTGGGTTGTGACATGTCCTGACACGTGGAATATTCACAAAATTCAGCATTCTGGTTCGAACTCCAATGCAAATCAACCGCTTTGTTTGCCGACACCTTGTACCATGGTCCTTTCAGGCGGGACTGAGACGTTGTCGGTGCAGGTTCTGTGTCAGAGTCGATTTGGCACCATGCAGTCACGCCGCTCGGAGGCTTTCGCTTTTTGGCCCTGCTCAGCTTGGCAAGTGCTGACCGTCACGATGCCACCTGCAGCATTAGCTGCTTCCCAGCCTCTGAACGGTTCTGCAACATCGTTGCCTCCAAGTTAGTGGTTAGTGCGGTCAAACGAAAAGTGAGGTGCAGCAACAGCGCGAAGCCGAGCGCGAAGGAGAGCAGGCGAGCACTTCAGAACCAAGCACAAGATTCATGAGGGCTTGATGGAGACTATCTGGAGCCTGGAGCCTACATGCTGTCCGCATGATTGGTGCTGCACTTCCTGCTTGCGCCTGCACCGTCGTCTGCCGTCTGTGTGTGGTACTGTAAGCTGCAGTATGCCAGTATGCTCTCGAATCTCAAGAAGTTGGCCATCTGTGTAACTGTATTCGTCAGTTCTTGGGGAGGCGCAGGTTGTTCCGCGTCCGATCAGCCGCGCACTGCAAGCGGCGCAGAGGACTTCAGAACTGTCATGCTGCTTTGCAGCATAATGGTGCAAACATTGCAAAACTGATTGGCATGTCTACCCGTCTAGCAGTGGTCTCAATTGGCATGCGTATGGACCAAAACAGAGCGAGAGCAGGAGCGATACTGCTCCTTGGGGATCCAGCCCTGGCCGTGTTTAGGGCATGGATTAAGGGAGGTGAAACATCGACTGGGCTTTGACGGAAGCGAATTGTTGAAATCGTCGTACCTCTCTGCATTGGTCGCTAGATTTGTGTGCACGTTTGCATTTTTTGTCGCAGGGGCCTGCAGCAGCACAACGTGAAGTAGACGTCCCATGTCTTGCCGTTCTCAAACAGGAACAGCATATTACATCAAAGCGATGCACAATGTCACAGCGAAGGTTCCTGGCTCTGGATGCATGGAACCTCAACACCCATGAAACACGACCCAACTTGTACGAACTCAGTAGTCCTGAAACCATGAAAGCCCACTGAGTGCCTTCCCATCTTGTACTTACGCTTGTCTTGAACTTCTGCTAGGCTATCTTCCTTAGAAGTTGTGTCTTCTTCTACCTTCTTGTATCTTCCTTTAACATCCTTTATTTGTTGGAGCCCAGCACACATTTCGCACAAATCATGTTAGAACCATCCCGGCAATAATGTCCCGGCCTCACGAATACAAACGGTGTATGAGTCGAGCCATATGTAGGCACTCGACGTGTCTTAAGTCGATGCAGGAAAGCACAAGCGAACCTTGACGCCTTCGTGAAAGCCGAAGCTGCTGCCAATGTCGCGAAGGTGCCTCAGAGGGGAGGGAACAAATATGTCGTACGTGTATTGATATAATATATATATATATATATAATTCATTCATGTCTTGACTTGGTTTGCAGCGCCGGAAAACCAGCCGATATCACTAAGTTTTTTCAACCCGGTCAGAAGCACCACCTAGTGTATGTATGTATGTATGTATGTATGTACGTATTATATATGTATGTGTGTGTGTGTGAATGTATGTATGTATGCATGTATGTATGTATGTATGTATGTATGTATGTATGTATGTATAAATAAATAAATATATATATATATATGTCACAAGCAAGCCCGATGTCTTGCAAGCTGCTGCAGTATTCAAGCCAGGTCAAGCAAGAGGAGGCTGCCTCAGAACGAAGCTTTGCAGCACCATCGTGAACGTGCGACACCGATATTGACGAAGTCAAGGCATGAAGAACGGCCCGTGCTGACCAGTGTGGTGTCGCAGCAGTGAAAAGATGTTCCGTCGCGTCAGTTGGGGCACGTGGCACAGAACTTGCAGAGCCGTGCCCTGAGTTGAGCTAAGGAATGTCGAAGATGGAGGAGAAGAAGGCTAAGACGATCGCAAGTCAGGCTCAGGTCGAGAGGTAGCTCGGCCGATCTTGCCTTGCGGATCTTGCCACTCTTTCTGCGGAGTCGTTCTGTAGGCAGTCTAGAGTGTCGTGCGAGTGTGCCAAACGGTGCTTCTTAGTGCTTCTGTATTCTTCTGTACTGATGAAGCAGCAGTAGTACTGAACATGACAGGTTCGAGGCGCAGACAGCATTGTCCCGGGTCTTCAACACAACATATCGAACCTGTCTCTGCTCGTACTAGGTGGCGATTCCGCTGCAGAGCTACAAGCAATTGTGTTGCTATTTGGCTGTTCGGTGAACCGGGAACAGGAGCCGCCAGGCAATGGCTGATGCGGAGAAGGCTTCGGATCCTGCAGTCTTCATCTTCTTCATTTCGGTATCTATACAAGAGCATGACTACGCACTACGCACGCAATATGCTGCAACAACGAATGAGGTTCCCTGGCCGACGAACTTTCAAGGGTTTCTTGATCGACTAGATTGACTAGATGAGTCACCTGACGACTCGCACATCCAAGCTTTTAGATGTGTGTCAAGCAGCTGCAATGTTTTCCACCGCTTTCCGCACATGCTCTCATAGCTGTCGGATCCATGTTAGGGAGGTGGAATGCAAGCAGTCACACGGCCTCAGCCTGAAGCGTTGGAAGCCCGGCAAAGACGGCGTCGGGAGCTGTCGTTACTTAGGCCCGTAGTAGCAAACGTCAGCCCCTTCGAAATCCCAGTTGGAACGAGACTCCACGAGACAGGCGGCGGCTCAGCATATGGCCAACACCAGTGAATTCGAGGTGCGCTGCAATGCGTTGATTTCAAGGTGTTTGTAGCATGTCTCCGGAGCTCATCGGAGCTCTATACCTCGGTGTCCCACTGTGGTGTACCCATGCAAGTCTTCCTCTGCTCGATGCGGCAATCCGCCAGGGTAGGGACAAATGGGACAAGCTGGAAGTTGATAACATCCTACTCGCCGTAGGTTCATGCTTTCACATGAAGGGGGAAAGAGACAGGCGAGCATCAGACGGAAATGCATCTCCAGTTTCAGCTGCAGGGTGTGGAACTGCAGGAACCTGACCGCTTGTCAGAATGCTTACGCGACTTCAGCTACTGAAGTCTTCTGGCAGGACGCACTGGCGCAGTGGAACGCCCTCAGTCAAGAAGTGGAGGACTGGTCGGAATTGAAAGTTTGCTGACCTGACAGATGAGTGATGAGAAAAGAAAGCACTTAGAAGTGAATACTCGGCAAGGCGGCATGTTTGTTTGCTCGCAGCGATGCTGCCCCCAACATAAGAAGCCTTCAGCACTCTGCAATCAGAATCCTTTGTCGAAGCAGTGGTTGCTTCCCCAGGCACACCTAAACAATGAGCGAATCACCGGTCTTTCAGGTGCAATCTAATCCGTCTGTGCGAGCCGCTTGGAAAGTAGTTTTTCGCAGGGAATGGAGATGAATGTCACCATGAAGTTGCTGGGCTGCAACGATGGTTACCAAAGTAGTTTTGCCGACTTGATGGATTGCCCTCAGCTGGTTCTTCTTGCCAACAGACGCTAGGAGAGAAGTAGTGCATTCTCCAGCCATGAGCTCGGAGAACTCGCACATCGACAGCGCTGCGGATGTCTCGCCCTTCACTCGCCTCGGACACATACTCAATACCCAGCAGATCGATGAGCATGCTGAAAGCTGGGGGGCTGACGGCGAGGAGGCTGAAAGCTTGCTGGAGTCGCTTCCAGAAGAGACACCACGTCTAGAGAGGAGAGCAGAGCCGTCCTCGCCGTTCTCCAAGCGCCTGACTTCTGGCACGATAGGCAGCACGACAAACGGCAGAAGGACAGCGGCGAAGTCGTCGCCCGAAATGTCCAGAGCTGCCATGCAAGCCCGCTTGCAGAGCAGGATGGTGGCTCCGGCTGGCGAGGACACCCAGGAAGCGCCGCTTCAAGATTTACGTGCCATGGCCATTCGCATGGGGCCACGCATTGAGTTTCTGCACGAGAAGGCCTCGTGCCGACCCGTGTCGACACTGTCTAGTCTAGCCCAAATCAGGGTTGTTGTGCAACACATGGAGTGTGTGTGGGGGGGGAACCCGTCCGGCGAAGACACAAATGCCGCAGAGCTATTGCCGGCTTCGCGTCGTCACGACATTTCCAGCATTCAATCAGCATCTCCTCGGTCAGCATCCGCCCACACTCAAAGACTGTTGGGTCGTCGCTCGCTGGTGGGCAGCGGGTCGGCATGCTGAAGGCGTCTCCGACGCCGGCCAGCCGAGCACAGGCGATGGCGACGGACCCGGCGTGCTGTGCTTTCATACCACTCAAGAAGATAGTCCGTTCGTCGCAGCCTTTTTGGTGCATTCGTAGGCAGTCGGACTGGTCTCGCTCAGATGCCGCATTCAGATTCGATTTGCTGCCGTTCATGACGCTCAGCCGACTGATTTGTTGCACGGTTCGGCTGAGTTCTACACCTGAGGGAAGAAGCGATGGCGGCAACTCTTGCGCAAATGAAGAAGCACCTTGAAGCCACTTGCCGAGCAAAAACCTAGTCAGGGTGAGTTTTGCTGCTCTGCATGTGACTTGCAAAGCTTGTAAAGGCAGATGAACCGGTAGTTCGAACCTTGATACTCTTGTTTGCGGTGTGTTCAGGCTCTGAAAGACGCGCTGGATGGCAAGGTGTGGCCTGCCGTGTTGCAGCGCATGACTCGCGCGCATGTTTTTGTGCAGTAGTTCCGGGGTCTGGGCCGAGCTTTGGCTGCTGTTGGTTCTTCATCTCGTCCTTTCCCCTGCCACAAATGTGTCCGCACAGGGACATGCCGGAAACTTGGGCGTGACCCTTCCAGCATTTGTCAACATCTTCAGCCAGCCTGACAAAAGCCCGAACGCATTATACTCAACGGCCACACGCGGCCACCAAATACAGTAAACCCCCCCACCCCCCACCCACCCAACTCACCACACAGAGACAGGGAGCGTTCCCGTCCGTCTGAGCACGTCTGCGGACTCTACGGACAGAGAGTGCCTCGGTCGAGCCGACCGTTTCCGCTTCAGCGCTGGAGCCTCGCAGTGCCGTGCGCCACCGGCAGAAATCGGGCGGTCACGTCGGGTCAACACGAAGCGCAGAAGTGCACGCGCAGGCAATGCGCGAAACGGACCTGCCCCAAACAGAGTGGGAATGTGTGTCAAGTGTCTGTTCATGTCGCGGCTGACGCATACGCACTTGTGCTCTCTATTCTAGCAATCAGGCTACTCGGAACTTGATCTTTGACTCTAGTTGAAGCATTGGCCAGCCTCGGGTATTTGCTTCGAGACACTCGCGGCTACATTTCAGCCATGTACAGCCTCTCTGCAATGAATGTTTGCTCCCCCGATCAGAAAAGAGACCGAGACGCGGCCGAGCAGAGCATGATGGAAGCTTTGAGGCAAGCAGATCCAGACCTGTTGCACCAACAGATGAAGACAATGAAGCGTATCCTGGCACATCCGCGTTGGCACTGCGTGAAATGCTGGCCATGTGGACTGGAGATACCGGAAGGTATGCTTGAAATCTTGCTAGCACTCGACTCTGTCGTGATTGACTTTCGGCTTTCCGCTACTCAGGAAAAGAAGAGTGTGGTGCTTTCCGCCAACAAGTTGAAGGCAGGGATGATGAGTATCGGGGAATATCTGAGACCCTTGCACTTGCTTTAGTCGTAGGCTCTTCCGTCTAATTTTTTACGACTTGTCCGTGCCTCAAGGCTCTTAATTTGGCAAACCACAGACCTTGCAACCCCACATGTTTGCGGTTGCTGCGACATGTAATCTCAAGCTGTCGCCCTGGCAGCCTGCCGTTTCCCTCAACGTCCTAAGAGTTCGGGAAGAGGAACGCTTGAGAAAAGGAACACGACTTACACTATAGTGATTATAGCGCACACTCACTCTTGAAAGCACAAGGTCGCGGATGCTGTGCTAATCCCTAAAATGCCCTAAAAAAACACCCAATGCTTCATGGAACGGACATGTCAGAAGGGGGTGACAGGCAGTGTTTCTTATGTTTTCTTCTGAATGCCACCCAAAAAGCCATTTCGTACAGGGAAGGGATTAGCAAAGCACAAATGACTGCACAGATACTTAGCGTCTGCAAACGACCTGTGTATCGTGACCTGAGGCCGATGCGGCGGAGGATGCAGCCAAGGCTGAGCAGGCGGCGCAACAGCTGCAGAAGGAGCTCCTTGCCGAGTCTAGAGAGGGTGTGCGAGAGACACTTTTCCATGCGCCAGCTTTTCCGCCAGATTTGTTGGGAGGAAGCGGTCTCTCACAGTGCCCAAGACATGACCACTCCTCACATGCACAACCTTCTGTTTGGCAGTCGACTGCGAAACATCCAATGCGCACATAGCAAAGCCTCAGCATTCACCAACGCAGAGCAACTTTTGTGGGTGTTTGTGGTGAAAACTAGAGGGTGGAGGCCCTGGCTGCTGCTAGCGCTTTGGCGAAGATCATCAATCCGCGCTTACTTTCGGTTGCACACACCGAGTTGTGAGGTCCGTTACGGCAATCACGGGCACTTAGCCCTCAGCATGGCATCTTTTGGACCGCCGCTGCTGTGTTCCGGTTATGCCCTGCTCAACGACAAGGCGTGTAAGGATTGTACTCGGGAGCATATCCCCGGCTGGTATCGCAAGAGCCTTCCGAGGCCTTCCTTCGTCAGAACGGTGGGGCTTGGCGGCTTGATAAGCAAGGTCGTTGAGCAAGCTATGAGTTCTGACTGTCTTCGCTGAAAACAGTGCACAGTACAAACGTAAAGCACATCCCCTAAATATGTTGACAAGGAATCGATTTTCCAAGTCTCAATGTCAAGTGATTGTTTGGAATGCAACCGTTTCATTTCATCATGGAAGTCTTGCGGCATCTCCGTGGGCGGCTTACATTGGCTTACGGAGTTGAAGCAGCGTTGCAATGGTCCGAGAGGTGTCGATGATGATTATGTGATTATGCGTTGCCGGAAACAGTTGCGCTCACGAGTTTGGGCGGCATACCTCGCCAAAACGACGTCGCTGCGTTGAAGTATTGAGAGGAAATTAGATGACTGACAACATTCGCTTACTATTGTGCACCGGGGCAATTTTCCAGTTGAACTGTAGGAAGCCGCGGCCAAGCAGCCGTGTCCCTCATGCCCGAAATGGATCGAAACGGAGGGACCTGACGTCTGTGCATTCCTTCACAGCTACGCTTGGCACTTGGCCTTCATGCAGTTTCGACGAAGACTTCGGGCCTTTCCACTGTGGTCGTCCTTCGCCAATGTGCCACTGTAAGAAGATTCCTAGGGTTAGCGCCGGCTTGGAGTTGTAGCACATATCAACCAAGAAATGAATCCAGCCCACATGTGTGCAGGAGTTGCGGCAGAGCCAGGCTGCTTGAATGGCATAGCCCGCTTTGTGCCCATGAGTTCGCTAGGATCCTGCTCAGCCAGGCCGATTTCGACAAGGCCGTGTCGAATGCAACAAAGGCCGAGGCAAGATCGAAGGAAGCGGCCTAGCTTAACACGACCTGGCTACACGAAATGTTTATTGTGAAGTGCTGTTGTCACTGTGTGCTTCCCGTGCACAATCTTGCAGACACCCAGCAGCACATTAAAGTGATTGGGAGGGGGAGCAGGCTTTGCAGCGCAAGACCAACTAGCCGAGGCTGCCAACGTCGCCCGTGAAGCCAACAATACAGTCGAAGACGGCAACAGGAATCGAATCTGATGGTTGTAGCAGCCTTAAGTGTTCCTCAGAGTAGTTTGGCTTGGACAAGGGGTGCACAATGCCATGTTGGTTGACAGGACGGTGAAGTTGGTAAAAAAGCTGCACGAGGCCGTGAATGCCGGGCTGCCGAGCCTTTTTTGTAATGTCCAAGCATGCCTCTTGAATATGCGCGAGCTGCTTGAGCTGCGCGCTCCGACTCTCAGGTCTTCTACAAGGCCGTTGATGCCTTTGTCGCCAGTAAGCATCCTGGAGGCTGGATATGGCTGGATCTGACGGCAGAGCGTCGCTGTGTCAGTGTGTCGCGGCCACGGTCCTGGTGACAGGCGTTCCAGTATCGTTTTGTCCTGTGCTCCCATGCTCAGGCACAGTACAGGGGGTTGCGTTATCTCGCATCACTGGGTTGAAATACGCATCGATGAGCATCCACACTCGGGAAACGCTTTCAAGCAATCACTTCTATTTGTGAACGATCCAATGGTTCCACGTGGAATGGAGCGTCTTGATGGGGAATGGCTGGGTCGGATGTGGTGTGCTGCCATGTGCTGCCACTGACGTTCGTCTCGAGTGGGCTCGTACTTGTATCGGGTCTGATGTCTTTTTATAGTGTCTTGTTGTGTCTTTGTCTTGTGTCCTCGTTTTGTCATCGTCGTGTTGTGTCTGTATGTCGTGTCGTCTTGTTCCTTCTCGTATCGTTCCTCGTTCCGCGCGTTTGTGTCGCGTCGTCGTGCGATGTCGCGTGCTCTTCCTCTGGAATCTTAGTGACTTGGTGAGTCTTAGTGACTGAGCGTCGTATCTTCAGTGTCACAGTGTCACAGCGTCTTCGTCTTGTGTCTCGTCTCGCTAACCGGTGTCTTGTGGTTGCGACAAGGGGTCTCCCACAAGTGTCGCATGTAGAAACCTTGACTGACCGCTTGAAGCAGCCAAGCTTTCCCGACACTGCCAATAGGTCAATAGGACATGACAAACTGCCATCATGGAAAAACATTTCGTGAGCCATCGAGGTGCCGCTGCCAATTTAGCTGATGAAAAGCTTTCCTGTTCAGCTCGCCTACAGGTATTGAGAGCGACCCCAGCCTGAAGATCGCCTTTGAGAAGTACAACCTCATGGTCTTTTTGCCGGTGAGATAAGTCAGTGTGTGATGAAAGGGTCTGCTGTTCTTCAGTCCTGGGTCTCACATTGTTAGGGCAGGCCATCGCAGGTCGCATGGCTGCAGAGGTTCATCAAGGCTTCGACTGGCGTTGTCTGGCTGGGGTTGTTGTGCGGGGAACCAGCGAGCAACGGACAACTTGCTGCTGCTGCGGGCATAGCACCGAGGTCACGACTTTCCTGGAGGTGCAGAAGTTCTCGCCTGACCTTTTCGAACAGGCAGGTGTCCATGTTGCAAGCGGTTCCATGGCAGACACGCAGCTTGGGGCCAAGTCGTTTCACTTGGAGCCGAGATGCAACCACAGTGCCATAGGTCAAAAGAGCGTTCGACGAGATTGAAACGCCTGCCAGCTGCAGCTGATTTTCTTGCCTTTTGTTGCCTTCACAGAAGCTCAATCCCAGACTTGTGTGGACTGAGCCCTAGAGAGAGTTCAGCAAGTCACCTCGCTGCTATCCAAGGAACTCTGCGTGGGAGATTGCAGCGAGATGCGATCCGACTGGAATACTGTGGGATGACGACGTTGATAAGATGCTTGGCAGGAAGTTGATCAGTCTGCACGGCAGCGCAACTGATCGTGTAAATGACAGCACCGGGACAACTACTTCGTGAGAGCATTGTGAGACTTGGTCACTGCGCGGGAGCTTTTGCTCGAGCACGGCTTCCCAATCCACAGCCCCACTGTGGCCCACAGCCTCGCCCAAGAACCCTTGTCAAACGGCCGCAACCTTCCAAGTCCTCCGGGACAGTCACCTGGCTGATCCCTCAAGGCCAGCCACGATGATTGAGAACGTTCGGGTGTGTCGAAGCCATGTTTGTGAGTCCGGCGAGATGTTGGCGAGGAGTCGACTTCCAACCCTGCAAGAATAGAACGGGAAAGTGCTTGGACCGCTTGGAGGATGAATGAAGCCAAAAGCAGTCGAAGTCCACATACAGCATGCATCGGAAACTTGCACTCCAGCGGTCAGCAGCCACCGCATCCAGCGGGCTGGTCACAGTGCAGCTTTTCCAGGACATGTCAGTCTGTGAATTTTATGCGGGCTGCCTCTGCACTCCCAGGCCATGCTACTCGAGACGTAGAGCTGGTGCACGTGCCACTACACGTGGGCTGTGTTCTGCGGTGTTCTGCGTTCTTGAGGCCGTTGCCAGAGTTTGACGCAAAGTGCGGCAGCGGCCTCTGGGAAAAGGTCGGCATGACCAGGCTCACAATAGACATCGAGCGACAGAGTGCCTGCTTCTGCTTGGATTTGTGAACTAGGGCACTATATACGGCTTTTCGAGCTCCAAATTGTTCTGAAATTGAGTGAACGCTGCCTAAAGTAGATATCAGAGGTTTTTTAAAATAGCCGTGCCTGGCCGAGTCTAGCGAAGCGATTCGACAGATTCGCGACTGTCCGTGCGGCTGTTGCCTCTCCGCAGGCTCGAGATTCCGGTGTAAGGCCCGGTGGTGCAGCTTTGGCTGGCGGCGCTTCCGCTGCCGGCCCGACTTGTAGGCACCGGTCGCGATTGCATGTTTACAGCACTAAGCGGTCTCAGAAGGCAGAGGGCTGAAGATTTTTGACGATCTCTGTCGCGGCCTTCTCACCGAAGATTCTTCACTCCACACGGCGCCTCAGCGCCTGACGCACACAATGTGGACCATCCTCTCCAAAATTTTGCGCAACCATGAGCGAAGCGCCCTCAAGGGAAGCAGGCTCGTCCCAGTGTTTTTGTCAGGAGCACGCTTGCCGTGTGATGGCATACACTCATTGTTGGTGACGAAACGAGATCCCTGCAAGCCCCGGTGAAGTAGCCACAATCTTGTCATCGCACAACGACCGATGTGACTTCACCCTAGCGGCCCTAGCAGCTATGGTGAATTTATGCAGGTTTGTCGGGCTGCTAGTCGAGTTTCGTGTGGAACGTGCAGCATTCCTCATGTTATTTGCAGCTCTCAGGGGTGACTTGGAAAGCCGCATCAAGCCGCCAAGTGCGCAAGGCAAGGCATCATCTGGCCGCAGCGGCAACCTGTATGCTATCCGCGGAGAAAAGTGTCTAGCACTCGCTTCATTGTTTGTCAGCCGCGCCTGATTTCGATCTTCACTTTGTGTTCTGAACTTATCATCTGTTCGGTTGCATCTGTACAGCTAAACCATCAAGCACACGGCCGATGAGTCATGTAATGCGGGTGCGGGTGGCTTTCGCTAGCAGCATGTGCTGAGAAAAGCTGGTCCATGCGTGTGCACTCTACCCAGCTCTAGATAGCTGTTTCTCGCAGCACAGGTACATTACCCAACCAACATCTTTGCAAGTGCACTATCATACTGGGAAGGTCAATGCTTGTATGACATACTGTGAATGCTTTGCAGATGGAAAGTGTGACCTTCGTGTGAAGTAAAAGGCACTTGGTATGGTTGCCTAGGTTGCATTTGCTTTATTGCTTTTTACGTCCAGCTACATTTGGGTTAGTACTGTCCTGCATCTACTTCAGTACCGGCACGAGGCTGAACAAGATGTAGAGAAATTAGCGATCATATAAAGCATGACGATGCATGGCATCGTGTTGTGTCCAACTGTCAGCTTCAGACTGTCAAGGTTGTCATAGGTTCCTACCGGGCTGAAATGCCACATGACTAACAGCACAAAGATCCGGTGACACAGAAGCGTTCAAGCTTTGCTCTGTCTGACAATTCCAGCGAATTTCGCTCTGCTTCGTTGTGCGGAGTGCCCGTTGCGCATCGAGGAAGCATGTAGTTGTCATGTAGCTCGGAGCTGCTTGCAGCCTTGGCCGACTGGTGAGGGTGCTCACAAGATTGTGGTCTCCCAGCAATGCAAATGGGTTTTTACCGGCGGGACTCCCCGAAGACTGCTGCAGGTCTCTGCGGTGTACACTGGAAGCAGTGAAAGAGCCAAAGAGCTCGCAACGACTATGCCAGGCGCCAGTCTCCACATGTTTGCTACAAGATATCCCCAGTTGCAATGATGGCAACTGCTGGAGGGCATCTGTAACATGCCTACGCCGCTTATGTTCCTTGCTGTTGCAGGATTAGATGCCTCGTGTGCTGTTGTCGATCTCGCAGACGGCAGGCGCGGTCGGGGATAGATATTTCGAGGAAAAGCATTCCATCAATCTCCGGCGGTAGATGTGGTGGCAGATGTACCTGTAGCACATCTGGGAAATCTTGGGTCATGATAAGGATCACTGTGTGGCTTGGCACGTGTGCAAGCAACAGGCAGAACAGAGAGCTAGGCCGATAAAAGCTTCTGCAACATGTGGTTGACTAGGGTGTCGGAGGGGGAAGGCTGGAGTTCACAAACATCACAGATTCCCTGTTAGTGCGGCGCGACCTTTTCCTCGCCGGAGAGCTTGCACGGGGTCGTTGCCCGTGCGAGCAGCACGACCACCGGAGATCGGTAGGTACGTAAGCACGGTCTAGGATTGAACCTGACACTTGCTAAAGAACCATCAAACGCCCTGGAACGGCAACCAACGCATGGTTTCGGCAGGCCCCTGAAGGGGCTTCATATGCTGAGGTGCCTCTCGCTTCGTTTTCCTGTCGATCGGGGCGGTTCTGAGGCACAAGTTGCTGAGGCCGTGGGCATGCCTGGGTAGAGGCTGCATTCAAGCCGAAAGCGGGCTACATGGAAGATGACAGGGCAGGAAGCTGCGGCAGACACACTCGAGGAGATTGGTATCAGAATCTGTGGTGCATAATTTGCTGCACTTCGCAACGATCCACAGGAGACCGGGTTTTGCAATCCATCCTAGCAAGTAGTTCTCTTGCATGCCCGCTCATGTGTGCAGGCTCAAGTATTTGCACACTGTATGCAGATCTTTGTCAACGAGGCCTGGGGATCGCGACCTGTGGCGAGAGCATGAGTCTTGCCAAGCTGTAGGTTCGGCGAGAGTCACAGATCGAGGGCAAAGGGGTCTCCTGAACGCCTTTGCTGATGCGAGTGGGGCAGCTACCTGCTCGTGGGATGATCTACTTTCGTGCAAAAGCACCAAACACCAAACCTTTAGGATCAGCCTCTATTTCGAGGACTCGAAGTAGAGGACAAAGACGGGCCATAGTCTGCATGCTGTGCCAAATATTGGCAGCTGCTCAAATTTTAAAGCCATCTCATCGCACAGCAGAAAAAGCTCTGGTCCTGCCACCCTTGTAGGTTCACGAACTACATGAAACTAGGCCGTCTGCAATTGAGCTATCCGGCGGAACGAAAGATCCACCAGCACATTCCCGGCAAAAGCGTGCCATCCGTCCTCAATATTCCTGAATTACAATTGGGATCATGAGGCAAAGATTTTCCTCAATACAAGCACCCCAGTTCCCTGCCAGAGGGCTTCCACGCCTGGCAGAATCGCTCGGAGCCTTCTGTAGCGAAACTTCTGCCGAATAGGGCATTGTTCCTTCCTTGACGCAAATTGGAAGGCAACTAGGAACTCGTCACGGAGTGCTCATGCAAAGCCAACCGCATGGCAAATGAATGTGTGAGTGTGTTGGACAAACCTGTACTATACCTTTGGAAGTGATAGTCAAGTTTTGCGTGGTAGCTAAACTTGATTATTCATAGGGGGACTGGCCAACGGATACTGATGATATCCGGTCTGATGAACCGGACGTACCTGCAAAGTTTCACCACCTGTTGTGCAACTAGGATGAGTCTCATGAGTCCATCAATTTTAGTATAGTTGTTTTAGTGTAATGCAACTACATCAGCTTTGTTTTGATATGGTTCTGGGACGCTGGAACTACGTACTTGTATGGTTTCACCATCCGTTACAAGAAGATAGTCAGCCTTGAGTCTCAACAATTGACCGACGACATGCGAAGTTGTACCGCATCTACATGATTTTGGCACAGTGCAACTCGGTGGCAGACAATGACATGCTCATCACGATTGGCCCTTTGACAGAATTATCAGCCGAATGACACACATGCAGCTTGCCGGTCGTAGCTGGTTTTCAGCTTCTTTGTTGGTTGTCTGCTGCTTCTTCGTTGATGTCGTCTGTCGTCGTCGTGATGTTACTGATAAAATACTGAATACAGCTACATTCTGGTATTAGACCAGATTGCTTCCATATCCTATGCTCAGAGAAACCCCATTCATACCCCTGCAAGACAGCACCCTCTTCTGATAAGACTCATGGAGGTATCTCAGACTAGTTCCAGAAGATGTTACCCGTACCCAGAAATCACCCATCATTCAAGCATACCCAGACTGATGCTGTCATAGTATGTACCCAGAATCATGCTGTCATAGTAGGATTTTCCAAAGCTGAACCATTCCTACATGACAGTTGCAGAATCATCACTAACCGTGGTGATCCCAATAGTTACCCAACCGATCCCAATCGTTTCGTTTGGCCCTACAAGCACCCATTCGCCACCCAGAAATGCACCCATCGTGACCGTCGAAGGATAAGCAAGAATAACTTTAGCTCATGTTGTTAATCTTCATTTCGTTTAAAAATTTGCGTAATATTAAATGTAGTTCTAGGACGTTTCGCCACCCAGATGACACCCAATCAAACGTCTTACTTTGCTCTCATTCTCAGCACACCTGCTCAAGAGATAAAAAGCAAGTCGCATCGGCTGTAGGGAAGGACGGTTGAATTATTTAAATCATAGGACTGGATAGTGCCGTCGGTTTCATCATCATGTCGTGTATTCTGTTAACTATGTAGATCATCGCTATTTTGTTGAACTATTTAGATTTAGATTTTCGCCACCCGGAAAGCACCCGACCTGCGTGTTGTCTTTCGTCTCGTTCCATCTATTCCCATTCTATCTCAGCAGGTATGTTCAAGAAAAGATGGGTTGTCGGCCAAAAGACCAACAGACTATCAAGCTTTCGCAATTCAATAAGTACTTTCTCAATCTCATAGTCTATTTCTGCACATTATCTAAATGGTCCAACTTGCTGCACACTTGTACAACTTTGTAGTGCAGTTTTCTGCACGAAGCCGACTGTACAAATCAACGTATCGTCGTTCAAGATCCAGACGTCGACAATCTACTTGACGACGACCTCGTAGAGACTCGAAATCCTCAACATCAATGGGTTGGTATTCAAGAGCCCTCAAGGATTTGTACATCAAGCGGTCAAGCGCAGCCTGTTGTGTTGTTATGCCTGTTTTTCGGCCAGTCGTCGCTTGATGCATGCAAATGTTGCTGTAGCCACAGTCCTTGTGGTGTTTGCTGTTGTGTCGTTCGATCGTCGTCGTCGTTGTTGTCGGTTTGGATGTTGCTTCCCTTCGCTCGTCCGTGTCGTTGTTGTTGTTGTTGGTGATAGCCAAGTTTTGTGTGGTAGCTCAAACTGAATGAATCAACAACATGAGATTATTCACAGGGGGACTGGCTATCCATGCAAGTGCCAGTCCAACGGAGAAGCCTGCATTGATGAATCGCACGTACCTGCGAAGGTTCACCACCTGTTGTGCAAGTAGGATGAGTCTCATGAGTCCATCAATTTTGGTTGTTTGAGTGTAATGCAACTACATCGGCTTTGTTTTGATATGGTTCTGGCACGCTGGATCCACTTGTGTTGCACCATCCGTGGCCCGAAAATAGTCAGCATTGAGTCTCTACAATTAAGTGAAGACCTGCGTTGTATCGCATCTACATGATTTTGGCACAGTCCAACTCGGTAGCAAAGGTTTTGCAAAAAAGGCCCAATATTCAATAGTTTTATCAGTAACACCACGACGACGACAGAAAAAGAAGACAACCAACAAAGAAACTGAAGCCCGGGTCAGACCTGCAAACTGCATGTGTGTGTGTGTGAGGGTTAGTTGGAGTACCGTTTCATTCATGCGGCTTGGGCATGGTCGTGGCTCAAGGGCACGATGCATCTAGCAGACGGCTTGTGTCAAGCATGTTTTGCCGGTTGTTGCTAGTTTAGTGCCGTTTTCAATTTCCGATTTTGCAATGGGAGCATCACCATCCGTCAGTATCGTGGAGGTATTTGTGCATCTGGTTTTCGAAAATTAATGTCTCCTGTTCCGATTGCGAACATGGTGGTTCTCGTGACGGCGACAGCAGTCTGGTTTGTAAGTCCCTGTCACGCAGAAAGCCAGTAGCTCGGTAGTTGCATTGGCACAAGTCGCCCCGCTTTTGAACCTCAACATCTCTTCGCAAATGAATCGCAGCGGCCCCGGATCAGCACTTCCGACACAAGCATGCAGCTTCAACTGACCCACCTGCAACCAGCATTGAGCTTGACAGCAGGTGGTTCTACTTTTCCATCACCAGGCGGACTGCCCATCCCGCCCTTGACGTCCAGCACGCGACTTAGCGTGCTGCTTCAGGATGCCAGGGCATGCAATCCTGGTCTTAGAACAGACAGAGGCTCTTCCACGCAGCACTGAGTCATTGTAGTGTAGACTAGAGATAGAGGTCTACCGAGGCTTAGAAAATGATGTTACATCCAGGTCGCTTCTACAGCCCCAACGGATCGTATTTGATGACGATGCCGGCTGCCCAGCACGTTGCTTTTGCAGCGTTCTGCATCTGCCAGAAACTTCCGACATGCAGTGGGCCAGGCTTCGCCTCGGACATTCCGTCGGTCCCAAGGCGTGCAGGAAACAAACCATGAAAGCCTAGTGAAAGCATGGCAAGGAGCCTTTCATCTTCGCTCCTGCGTAGATGGGTTGAATGAAATGAGAGATGTAGCGCAGGATAGCATCTCCACCTTAGGTCAAAATTCCGCCACGATGTATTAGGAGGCATCTGCTCTTTGAGAATTGGGCTCAGTTGTGGTTATAAGGATGTAGAAGCAATATGCACGACAAGACTGCAGTCAGAAGGTGCTGGTCCGCACAGACTTTTGGCTGCTCCTGGCCTTGCACCTAGTGGTTGCGGACTCAGCTTGTGCGCTGACTTCAGTGTTGCTTTCTGGGACGATCTGAACCGAATGGCACGATCACGGTACGTAGGGGGCGTCTCTGCGCAATTAAGGCATTCGCAGCTTACAACAGCGGCTTTATGGGGGAGAAGGGTGGCGGGTGGAGGCCGTGGCAAGCCGTGCTGAACCTATCGACGAAGCTCTCTTGACAGGTATCTTCAGAGGAGAGAATCTTTAGTTGCTTTTGATTTTTCTGCATGCTATTGGCCGCATATGCCGCATGGCCTCAGCAGAGACCGTTGCTGGGAGCACGCGTTGCGGCCAGTTCGTTCCAAGCGCTTCTGCCAGGCTAGGCCTGCAGGAGCTCGAGTGGTCTGACGTGGAGCTAAGTTCGTTCTCATGTTTCTTGGTGCGAAAGAAAGCGCAGGGAAGGCTCATCTTTGCGAGCCTGCGGTGTGTTGGGTGGAGCCGTGCAAAGGTCCTGCGCTTTGTGCTTCGCAGTGAACCAGCTCTCTCCTCAAATGGCTTATGTGTACGGTTGTGCACGGAATGCCGCTTCTGTTGTCCCCCGACCAGGGCATATTTCAGATATTTGCAGTTGGGCCAGTTGGTCAGGCCGGCTTTAAGAGCCAGAAACTGGTGACACACTTCGGTATTGCGGAGCACAAGCGTCCCGTAGCTTCGTTGCTTGTGGCATGGCCGACTGTGCCCCTGAAGCAGGAAGACAATGGACAGCGTCTACGACTTCGCCTTCGAGGCTCGGAACACCGCCTGCGTGCATAGGTCCAACGATTTTCCGCGATCGGCTTCTGTCCGTTCTCTCCTTGGCTGGAGAACGAGTCGAGCAAAGCAAATGCCCGGCGAGAGGCCAAACTGAGCCTGCATGTCCGCATCAATGCACAGCACATGCAGAATACTCTTGCAAATGGCACTGCTCTTCCATGTGGGGAGGACAAAGCCAAGGCAAAGTAGAACAAGCACAAATTGCATCAGCAAGCAATGCCTGAAATTACTCATTGTTGCAAATTGAAGGAGGCTTGCCTTCCCCTTCCCGCGCTGTAGGAGCACCTAAGCACAACTTGCAGGTTGGAGTCGCCGTCTCCGGATGTAGAAGATTCCAGTGCGCAAACCTTCCCAGGTCCTAAGGAGATCCTAGAGGTCCTGGAGTCATTCGCTTTGCTTTTCTGATGGCTCCGTTTCGAGAGGCTCGGCTGTTCTTGCGCATGGAGAACGAACCGAGCTTCAGCCGCATCTAGTTAGACTGAAACCGTCAGACTCCGCGGCCGCAGTCAGCAGTCTTGTCCTAGCATTCTGCTTGGGTACTCTTTTTGAACAAGTGTTGGAACTGCTGGGCGGACATACTGCAACAATGGCCAGCGCTATCCAGAGCAGAAAGGGGGTGCGGAGTTGGAGTCTAATGGGCATGATTGACTCAGGTACGACCGGCTCGGCTGTCGATGGGCTGTGGTGCCAAGCTTGCAGTTTGAAGGAACTAAGTGAAGGCATTTAATCAACTAAGGATTGTGAGTATACCCAATTCGAGCTCTGTCCTAATGCTGTGGGGCCTGGTGACCCTACTAGTGGATCGTGACTTGAATCGCGCCTTGATGATCCAAGGGCTCTTTGATCCTGGTCCTATGCGAGATTAGGAGCGTTGTTTCTCAGAGCCATCAGTGATTTAGAGAAGATACCGAGTTTGCAGTGTAGCCCCATGGCCTTCTGGTGGCCATGAGGCCACTCCCCCCTTAGCTACGCTAAAGGCCCTTGCCATGCAGGAGGAGTTACACAGACGGCACCATTCAGCAGAATGATCTTCTGTGAAGCCGTCCTGTTTCCGTTGCGTGTGGCTTGGACATGTTTAGATTATCAGCGAATTCGGATGATTTTGCTGGGGTCTCCTGGCCAGGCGTTGAACCATCCGTATTGCTTGCAATGAATATTTTGCATAGATACCGATGGATAATGCATGCGCTTCGCCTCACGGCCAACCCAACAATCTCCGCAGGAGCTTGTCGTCTAACTGACACGATGAAAAGTACTAAGGCTTGATTTGTTCGCTCGCTGCCAGCCCCTATCATTCTCTACGATTGTTCCAAGCCGCACGTGGCATGACTGTGATTCTGTCTGCCAGGAAGTTGGTGGATCTGGAGTTTATCAGGACACAGTTGGGAGAGATGGGAAGAACATGCAGACGCCGTATTGCCATTTCAGGAGATGTATTTTGCTCGAAACGATTATTCTCAGCGCTTCGCGACCTGCAACCCTGGAAGCTCCCACCGCAAACTTAGATCGCTTGACTTGTAAGGAAAGTTCCTGGCACCACACAGTGCAGATTCCAGCAGCAAATTGTGGACCAGCACATTATGGAGCCACCTAACATGCGAGCGGCGAGAACTGGACAACCTTGAACCTTGAAGCGGTAAGCCCCCCATCACCCCACGCCCCAACCCCCCAAAGGCCATAAAACAGACAAAACAACAAAAACCATAACAAATCTGCTCCCGTTGCGTTGCGGGAGGGGTTGTTGTTGTTGTTGTTGTTTTCTTTTTTGTTTTTGCCTGGAGGGGTTGGTGGGTGGGGTGCAGAAGGGCGCGGGGTGTGGGAGGGGGAGGGAGGTGGGCTGGAGGCATGATATACTTACAGCATATGATATAGTTGCAGCAATGATGTGCTATTCAATTCTGTTCGCCGAAAGAAACAACCAACAAAGGAGCAGCAGCAAGAACGGGAACGAAACAAAAGCTCCACCTTTATCTATCTCCATCGATGACCATCTGCTCCATTTGTCTCCGTCTCCGCATCTCGATCGATCTATCTATCCATAAACCTATCTATGACTGCTTGTGTTCGCTTTTATCCGACACTCCAGAAGATGGCAAGATAGGAGAGGCTTCTGTGTGGGGGCATTCGCCCTTGGCTTTCCTAGTGTTAGTTTTGTTCAGTTCGTGTGGTAAGCAATGGGCGAACAGTAGCTCACAGCGCACAGGCCTGGTGAAGCGGACTTCCTGGATCCGCACAGTCTGTCAGCAAGGCAGAGGCAAGTGAGTTGCAAAGTGTGTAGAATGGCAGCACCGGGCAGGCCCAGGCCCCAGTCGATAAATGTTAAATGGCAACTACAGCCGTTCAACCATCTGCAAGGGTTGATGCTACAACCCAAGACACGTGCCAGACCAGTGAAAGACTGTCAGGTTGATACCATATAACTCACAGCCGTAGTTTGTTTATGCCCTGAGGACACTCGTCATGATGCACACAGCCTGTGACTGTGCACTGCACGGCTTGGGGAAAGCTGAAGTTGCCGCTTGGCTGCGATGGGGCATACTGAGAGCTTCCGAAATTTCTTGGGCACCGTGGTGCTCTCGACAGGCACCAGCAACACAACGCGATTTGCTGCAGCGCCTTGTCGACTGCAAGTCCTACCAGCTCCAGGCTGGTGGCAGTGTATGTCGCGCCTCCAGATTGTGCAGAAGATCTTGCATGCACTGGCCGTTGAGACTTCCTCGGCAGTTGCTCGATGCCGCGAATGCGATGCTTCCCTTCGAATATTTCCACTTGCTCAGCTAAAGCCTGAGGCTGGAGGGCCAGTCCTCCCAAAAAGCAGCCAAAGCGGAAAACTGGAATTGCTGATGTCTTCCACGGCCATGCGCACTCAGGTACTCTGGTCATCCTGACCACGGCCTACCTAGGGCTGTGCGTCGGTCTGTGCGATTCATGGATCGCACCTGCCTCAACAGTCAACAATTCAACAACAAGACACATCGGAAGTCTGAATGTAATTTCGCCGAGCATGCGCGGCATGACCCTGGTGCGCTTACGACATGATCGTGTTTGTACATGCTGGTGGCCGCCGCTCTACAGGTACCACCTGCTTATGCAACCTCTTTGCTGCACCTTGGCGGTTCTGAAAGCCTGTGAAGAGACTGGAATGCTTGCATTCTCAATCACAATCGCTTCTAGCTTAGGATTATACTGGGCCTGTTTGAGCTCCTCAGCAGTTTGAACTATCCCTTTGACGGCCTGCACGAGGCAGTCTCAATTTCTTTGATGCACCGTCACTATTAGGTCGTGGCCTGCGCAAAGTTTCAGCTTGCAGACCGAGTATTTTGTGACTCGCGAGACTTTTCTGATGTCAGATGTAGACTCGACAGCCAGGAAGGTTTTTGCTGTGAGCGTGCTGACTCGACTGACGAGCTTAATGGTGCCAGTGGTTCTGAGTTTGGTCCACCAGTGGCAACAAATACTTTTTATGGACAAGCAGAATCATGTCTCCTTTCATGTGTGTATGGTTTCCTCCCTCAGTTTTCATATGTCACCGCAACTGCAATGCCAAACTGCTAGTGCTGCTTCTCTCCTGCCTGTCTGTTCGCTGTTGCCTGGGCCCTATGCGGCTGTCGTTGTAGAGGTGGTGCTGGTGCTGGTTGTTGTTGCTGTAGCAGCAGCAGCAGCAGCAGTAGCGGTAGCGGAAGTAACAATAATTATTACAGCAGTAGTAGTGGTAGTCGTAGTCGTAGTCGTAGTCGTAGTCGTAGTCGTAGTCGTAGTCGTAGTCGTAGTCGTAGTCGTAGTCGTAGTCGTCGTAGTAGCAGTAGTAGTAGTAGTAGTAGTAGTAGTTGTAGTTGTTGTTGTTGTATTAGTAGTAGTAGTAGTAGTAGCAGCAGTAGTAGTAGTAGTAGTAGTAGTAGTAGTTGTAGTATTAGT